ATTTAATAAGTAGTTAGAAATAAAAGTGTTTGTTGAATCCCTACTTGTGTGAAGAGTGACCACTGGGGTGTGAATTATATAACATGCACTATAGTTAAATGGTTACCAATATCACCTGAATGTAAAGTTCACCTTCAAGTTTGTCTGATGCCTTCAGTTGATCATTATTGAGGGAAAGAGAATTCTTCAGGAGTAATAGGGATTGGAATATTAACATGCATAAAATTAAGTTAACTAAAATAAAAGTAATTATTGTATTTTTTTTAAAAAAATAGGTGTTGTCCCTCTTGCTACCTACATGCGTATCTATAAGAAGGGTGATATCGTTGACATTAAGGTATCTTTCTTTAAAAATTACTATCCTGAAACTAAAATTAGCTTACAGAACTCTTGTTACTTTACTAAAGTAAAAGTGTAAAACACTATAATATAAAAAGATAAACGTCTTGAAATCATTGAGTTTTCTATATGCTCTGATATCTTTTACCATATAATAACATAAAAAATACACAAAGGAGATGCAATTTTTTAATTAAAAATTGTGTGGACATAATGGAACATCTGTATTCAGATGTGCAATACTTCACTTGAGATTGGTTATAATTTTGGATCCAGAAAACACTGTAGCAATGTTTTTTCCAATATGTGTAAACTTAATCAAATGGTGTATGTTAAAATTTTGCTGAACTCTAGGTGCAAAGCCTAACTTGAATGTCTGATTTTATGATCTGTAACAATATTGTGTTACATTATTATTTTAATGCTCTGGTGCTTGATGATGACTCTCTCCTATGATTGCTTTGTAATAACCAAAGCAAATTGAACAAAACATTTCACCGGCACTGAAAGCAAACCAGAGACATTGTCTAGCTCTCCGGGAAACTTAGAACCTCAAATAAGCAAATAAAATTATATAACTGTAATAAAGATTTGATTTGATATATGGATTAGTAACCATGTGTGATTCATTGGGCTCATAAATTATACCTATACTGTTCATAATTTGGCAGCTGTATAGTAAGATTACTGGAAGATTGGGGTTTAATTAAAATGGGAAATGGTCTAATCATTCTGAGTACCTTACCTAAAGAGAAAGCAAGCTTGTTCTGGTTTGACCAGAGAAGCTTATATTGTGGGGCAGAGCAGCAGTTATATTAATGGGTTTAAGAACACAGGAATTCACTTGTAAATACTGTAATTCAATGATGCCCTTTCCCAAGAATTTCCTAATAAACTTTCCCAGCATTTTTATTTATAACTATGGTGTAACTTTCTTGTATTAACAGGGCACAGGAACAGTTCAAAAAGGCATGCCCCACAAATGTTATCATGGCAAGACAGGAAGAGTATACAACATTACTCAGCATGCTGTGGGCATTATTGTGAACAAGAAGGTTAAGTAAGTGCATTCCTTGTTATTGATGTCATTCTTGTTACTGAATATTACTGTGTTATGAATATTATTATGTCTCCCCCTTCACTTTACCAGTTAGACATTTCTTGTCTTAATTGGCCATTCGGGGGGGGTACAGCAAATATCCTTTTAAAACCCAACCAGATTATATTTAATTGGGTTGGATCCTGTCAGAGGAAACAGATGCTGACTCTCTTCTGCAACAATGTGCAGTTTGGGACTGTCAGATAACAGAGCTTTACTGACTTGATCTCAGTGATGCAGTTCTTGATCATTAAAAGAAAACACAAAAACTCTGACTCTGTCCATCTTTTTTTTTCCCTAGAGGCAAGATCCTTGCTAAGAGAATCAATGTGCGTATTGAACATATTAAGCATTCTAAGAGCAGAGACAGTTTTTTGCAGCGTGTGAAGGAAAATGAAAGGAAGAAAAAGGAAGCAAAGGAAAAGGGCACTTGGTTTGAGTTAAAACGCCAGGTAACGTTGAGAATATATCTTCAATAGTTGATGCTAAAGCAAATCTAAAGTTATTTTGAGAAACGCCTTGTATATAGCTAGGCTAAAATGCTGAGGCTTGGTTAAATTTGTAGCAAAAGAAAAATGATAGATTATCTGATTTCATATATCCCTGTCAGATCCCAGCACTAGTGAGGGCTCGTTGACATAAATTGAATATTCTGTGTTTAGTTCTTATGGTGTTTAAAAAACTTTGAAATGCTATGTGTTAGTTAAATGTTACTGCATGCCTTAATCTATTCTCTACTGTCATAACAAGCTAAATCTGAAAAAGATCAAAGGAAGCGTGGAGAGTTATAAAGAAAAATTGAGTGTTGAGTTGTCAGTCATCTACAACTAGCTTAATTTGTCAAATGTAAAAGACTATAATTTTTTTTTTTTGGTCTTTGCTGTTAAGATATGTTCCCAATTTTGAGGAAAGGCAAATGGCCTATTCAATAAGTGTGCAGTGATATAAAACCCTCTGTAAAAAAGTCTCTGATGTTTCTTGCAGTATTATTGTAACTTGTGCCTCTTTTGTATTCCTGTTTACAGCCTGCTCCTCCAAGAGAAGCTCACTTTGTTAGAACCAATGGCAAAGAGCCAGAGTTGCTGGAACCAATTCCTTATGAATTCATGGCATAGTATGTGAACAAAATAAAATACCTTGTAAGAGGATTGAAATACATGTTTGTGTATTCAAAATTATTTCTGAATTGCAAGTACTGTATTCCTGTTATTAATTATGTATGTTATAATTCAAGGCACAATTAATTATGGGCAGAAACTACCTAAGAGGCAGCTATTTTTCTGTGAACCATGAATTATTGTCTCTGCAGTCTTCCTAGGTAGACCAGACAGGAAACATGACCAGATGAGCTAATTCTACTTTACTGTAAGGCTATATTAACAGAATCTTGCAAGTCTGATAGTACAAATCTCCTGCCATCTCTCTTACTGCCTGAGAAGTTAGCGAGGTTCCTTTCTGAGTCTTTTTCTCTGTCCATTATGCAGCTGCAGGCTATGCCCTCTCTTATCTGATCATCTCTCCCTTCCCATCTCCCAAGGTCATTTCCATATACCATTAAAGTCTGTTAGCAGCCTGCGATTAGTTTTTTTAATAGATATATATAAAACATGTATTCTTACCAGTAGTCCCCAGTACTGTACCTTCTGAATCAAAAATACATTAGAGATAGAAAATACTGGAAATATATATCCAAAGAATCTGAGGTTTGTAAAAACATGCCTGTCTCCTGTTTAAATTGTTTCTGATGTACAGCAAATTTCTCAAATTCTTGTCTTGGATTTCTAGTAAAGTATGTGTTACTCTCCAGTCTTGGTGATTTGTCACAATGGCTTTCTGTTGTTCACAAGAGCTTTTAAAAATATTTTCCCCTCTTTCCTCCACCTCATCTTCACCCCCATCAAGATTGGCCCACCACTGTCAGGGGATCCCAGTAGTAAGAATTAGGGATATGTGTTGACCCTAAGATTCAGATCACAAGTAATAATTTGACTGAAGAACTACCAAATTGAAGACTGTCCAGTTGTATTCTGTTCTCAAAGGTGTCCGCCCATTAAAAGCTTCATACCCCTCATTGATAAACATTGAAAGCCCACAAGCAACTCTAGGGGTTTTTTTGTGCCTGTGATTAGCAGGCACAAAAAACCCTGAGAAAGTGAAGCCTGCCCAGTTCAAGGAAAAATGTGGATAAGATCTCTGTAATGTAAGTTAGAAAGTGTGGTTAGGAGTTAGTAGTCAAGAAATCATGTGCATCTGTTACACTTGATGTCAAATGTGACAGCGTTGTTTGATAGGCCATTTGGGGACGGACATTCAAGAAGATTCCTCTCCTTTGTGGTAACGTATTGAGACAAACTAAGCCAAAGCCTTCATGATAGCTAAAAAACGTGTGGCAGCACCTAATGGATTTTCACAAATCTCAAAATTAACCAAAGCTGGTTAATAGTTTAATGTGAGACCCTCCCAGGAAATGTTAGTATGGAGACTAGACTGGGAAGCCAAAAATATACCCAGAAGAAGGCCTCTGTTATGGCTGACAAAGGACTTAGGTAATTTTATAAAGTTGAGCTCAATTTGAAGTCTCTGTATAGTTAAACTACACATGTGTTTGCCCTGATTCATGCTGCATACAATAATGTGTGAATCCGCTGATTATGCCTTAGTGATTTGTATGTAAACCAGGCATTTTGCACTAGTTTCTGTACACTCAGAGGAAGGAACCGCAGAAGACATTCAGATCCCACATTCTATATTTCAAAGATGAAAATGAAAAGAGGCAAAGGAAGCTTTTTCAGAAGGGGGAAGAAGAATATAGAAAGTCCCTTGATCCTGGGTGATTACATGGCCACATCCTTGCAATTTTACTAGCAACAATGCAGAAATGGTTTGACATTGCCCTCTGCCAGACTGTATAAAATTTATAACACAATCCTCTTCACACAAATTTCAGCTTTCCTTTATTTCT